CAATGATGATTGATGAATGTGGGACAACCTGCTAGATGCCATCAGACTTATACTACTTCACACGCAACACTAGAGACGTACTATTGTCCTAATCAACATATGCCCGTATGAGAGAACACCTGCCTGTCATCCGAGAGTCAATGGTCAGTACGTACCACTTAAGGGGGAGATAGGCATACAGAGGGGATGCAAGAAGTACGAAGTCAAGATGTGAATAGATACAATGGCAGGTCGATATCGGACCATGCGACGACGTCATCGCGGTCGGATAAGTGATTTTGGGCAGGCAAGTCCCCCTTGCAATTGAAATCTGCAGAAGCGGTTGGGGATGTTGAGGGAATCTGGAGAGGATGTGCATGTTCCCAGCAGATTCCCACCAAGGGGGAATTTACTGGGGAATCCGTGGGTAATATGCGTGGAATACGCAGATTCCCTGCATGTTCCCTGCCACCGTAATCTGGCGCTTCACGCGGTGCGTCGGAGTCCGTCCCTGTCGTACGCGGGGCACGGAGCTCAGGACGAGCTGAAGCAGGGGCTGAGGGAGAGCTCGCGAGCAATTCTCAACGCCCAGTCACAATGTGACGTTACGCGTTTGCCGACCTTGTTCAGCGCCGGGACCCCGGATGTCCAGCGTCGCTTCTATCGATTGGTTCCGTCTCTCATGTGGTCCGATGTCTCACGATAGTGACACGCGTGCGTCTCACCCCCTGTCCTGTTCGAACGACTGCACCGCACAGCGAGCCTTCTTCTACTGCGACTTCTCCGTTCCTAAGTAAGGCCTGCGAGTCCTCAGTCGTGTTCGTCATCTCGGGATTTCTCCATCATCTGCGTCCCCTGCTACATCTACGTTCGACAATCACTTGGCGAATCTACTGGTGCGGGTTGACGTATCTCTGTTCCTATGCCGACTCACGGACAGTTTTTCGAAAGCTTGCGAAAACACCATGCGCGTCCTAGATACATGGACAGGACTGTTCGTGGAGGTAGATCCGGAGAGGAAACAGTTCGCCATTCTGTCACACACCTGGAGGAAGAAGGAGCAGACGTACGACGAACTGAAGCTCGTCCAGGCGGACTATGGAGGCCCATCCGACGCCAAGTACTCGTCCCCTAATCCCTCCCGCCCACCCTCCCCATCCCCCGACTCCCCGTCCAGCTTCGTGCCGGATGATCATCTCATCTGGCGTGACGCGAACCTCTCTCGGAAGATCCGAGACGCCTGCAGAGTCGCACGCGAGGCTGGGTACAGGTACCTCTGGATCGATTCTTGCTGCATCGACAAGACGAGCAGCTCCGAGTTGTCCGAATCGATCAACTCGATGTGGCAGTGGTACGGCCGTGCAAAGGTGTGCTTCGCCCACCTTGCTGACGTCCCCTCTGGCGACGACCCTCGTGCGGCTGAATCCACGTTCCGTAAGAGCCGATGGTTCACGCGCGGGTGGACGCTCCAGGAGCTCATCGCCCCTTCAACTGTGGTGTTCCTCTCCCAGGACTGGAATGCCATTGGAACGAAGCTCACGCTGATTAGTCCCCTCGAGGAGATCACAAGTATCCCCGCAGAGGCGCTGCTTCACACAAAGTCGCTCGACGACTTCAGCGTGGCTCAACGACTGTCATGGGCAGCGCGGCGGGAGACTACAAGGAAGGAAGACCGAGCATATTCTCTGTTGGGAATCTTCAGCATCAACATGCCTACGCTCTATGTTACGACTGACTGTCGAGCGAGTAAGTGGAGACGAGCGAGGCAGGCAGGAGCGCCGACGAGCTCTGATCGCAGTGAGACTGGAGCGGAGCTCAACAGGCAGGACTGGAGACAAGTTGTGTATTGAGCAAAGTATCTACAGAGCGAAATACACGATGGCTTACCTGGAGACAAGAGGTCGAAACTAGAGTCTCCAGGTAGCAAGGAATCCAGCTATATACAGGGAACGAACAATGGGCGCTAGAGAACAATAGCGTCGCCATGGGTACGGAGTACAAGGGGTGTAGGACAATAGCGGACGTGGGGACAAAGGGAGCTATTGTCCGTGTGTGGACAAAGGGAAACCGTAACGAGTAGTGAACAATAAGGAAATGTACGAGGCAATGGTCCGAATCGAAAAGGAAACGTAGCCCCGTGAGGGCGGTTCGTGACAGTACCCCCCTCCAAAGGATCGTGTCCTCACGATCGAGGCTTTGAAGGAAACTTGGCATAGAATTTCTTGACCAGCTGAGGGGCGTGTACCAGGTTTTCCGCCGGTTCCCAGCTGTTGTGCTCGTTACCCCAGCCTTTCCAGTGAACGAGGTACTGGAGTTTCTTCCATCGGCCGAAACGTCTTGAGTCGATGACTTCGTCAACCTCGTATTCTTCCTCCCCCTCCACTTCGAGAGGGGCTGGCTCGGTTGGATGACGGCCTGGGAGATCACTGTGCTGGTGGGGTGTGAGGAGTGAGACATGGAAGACGGGGTGGATTTGCATGTCCTTGGGGAGCACCAGCTCGTAGGCCAGTGGTGCGACCTGTTTCTTGACCACATACGGTCCAGCCAGCCGATCTACAAGTTTTCGCGGCATCCCTGTGATGCGCAGATTGCGGGTGTCGAGCCAGACCTTCTGTCCAACTACGATGGTCGGTAGCTCTCGAACGCGTTTGTCAAAGTGCTCCTTCATCCGTTCGGCCGCCAGACCCAGTGCCGCAGTTGCGTCCTCCCGTGCCTTTCGTAGTTCCTCTCGCCGTTCGTCCGCTGCTGGTACTTCCGTGTCGAGAACCGGAATGTGAAACTCCGGGTCGTATCCGTACATCAGGAAGAAGGGCGAGTACCCAGTGGCCGAGTGAACCCGTGAGTTAAAGGCAAACTCCGCAATTGGTAGCCAGTGGACCCAATCGTCCCGTCGCAGAGAACAGAACATGCGGAGGTAGGCTTCCAGCTCCTGGTTCCAGCGTTCGGACTGACCGTCGGTCTGAGGGTGGTATGCCGTCGATAAGGTGCTCTCGATGCCGAGACCCTTAAGGACCGCGCGGAACAACTTGCTTGAGAACTGCGGTCCTCGGTCTGAGATGAT